TATAATTACCTCTTCGCGTGATGGACGAACGCCTTATGCTCTTGATACACTGATTTTAATATACACGCGAAACGAATATTTTGAAAAAGAAAAAAATAAAATAAAAGACTATTAACGCGTTCGTTCGAATTGCAATCGGCGCACAAACACTGACTCTACTTTCACGAATATATTACAATTATATTGCAATTAAATTAAGTTAGAGCAGTTGTGCTCTAAAGAACATTGAAATTACTATTACGAAACAAACACTGACTCTATCGACCGCATTGCACGCGATCATACAAATTTTCTGAAAATAAAGTTGGGATAGGAGGAGGAAAAAGGAAAATATTGTTTGATATTTTCCTTTTTTTCTATCAAGCGTTTGTTTAAAAGAAATAGTGTTAAATTTTTACAAAATTTTAAAAAAAAATATCTCATTAAGAATCTATTTGAGATAAGAAATAGATTCTTAATAATTTAATATTTATTAAGAATATAATTTATTTAATCTCTTCTACCTTTATTTTAATAATGTATTTGATGTATGAATTACTTAACAAATATAAATAGTAAAACGTATTTAATATAATAAATACAAATAAAATGTTACCACATTATGAAAAACCACCGTTAGATTAATAATCGTATCGAATGTTCATTATGGCGTCCATTTTTTAAATAGGAATCTCTTTTTCCCATTTAAGAAGACATCCCAGCAATCCTTTGCTAACCTGCATAAGAAATAATCAAATCCTTAAAATATATAAAATATAAAATCGACTGTGTATTATTAATTATTTATATTAATGTATTATTAGTATAAATAATTAAAATCAAATTCAATTTTGCAAGTTTACGATACGAAATAATTCTAATCGACACAAATACACAAATACAGAAACAAGAACAAATTATTTTCACAAATTATTAATTATAACAATATTTAATAAATTATTGAATAATAAAAATGTTAATCGAATAATATTATATAAAAAGTAAAAGAAAAACTGCGCAAATATAAAGACGTAATAGAGAGACATACCTGAACGAACCGTCTAATCGCCATGTTCGACAACGAATAACACCTCGCGCTACGACTTCGATTATCGAATTATAAATAAGAGAGGGGATAAGCCCGGTGACATGACCAAAACATGTCGGAATCAAAATATATCGAGTGTGGCACGAACGCGAACCGGATTTTTCTTGGAATAGCTGTATTCTAAGAAATATTTTCGGTCGTGGGGTCTTGAGCTCCAAAATCAAAACAAATAGAAGAGATAATACGAGCTCCAAAATCAAAACAGATAGAAGTATAATACAAGTTGAACGCACGATTAGACGCGTAGAAAGCATGTATACACGAAAGAGAGAAGGTATGTGAAATAGAATTGTTATAACGGTCTAATTATTTCGTTTTCGTATGAATAAAAAGATAAAAAAACATATAATAATTACGTCTTTTATTAAAATAAATCAAATCTTACCATATTTTGTGTCGTTGAATCATCTTTCGTCGTATGCGCATGTGTGAGATGTGTGTGCATGTGTAAATGTGTGTGCAAAACTATTACGTCGCAAAGTTACGCCGGTAATCGAACGATAATCTATGCAAATAACAATCAAAACTATAAAATGAATGTAATATAAGCAAAACTATATTAAAATAAAATAATAATTTGAATCAAATCTTGTTTTAAGGGTGCATAAGAGAAATTACCAGTAATTTTAACTGCCAAAGACGAACAACAACGCAACACGACGAGAAAGGTTAGAAAATTATTCAATTTTTATATAACAATATTTAATAGATGATTAAACAAACACTTATTAATCAAATAAGATTACTAATAATCTATAAATAGTAATAAAATACACAATTAATAAAAATTTTACACAATTATACACCTGTGCCGGTATGACACATCCTACACTCACAATTTTCAACAGTAGACTGAAGCCATGCGAACCGATTTTGTAAGCGGCTTCGTGATTGGCTGAAGCTGTATGGTCCTTATTATTAAATCCGCGCGGAAATTAAACTGTTATATAACATATTGTAAATATGAATTCCTATAATAATAAAATTTTAAAAAAATAATTCAGTTAAAATCACGTTTAAAATAAAAATAATTATATTATTTTATAAAATATTAAAATTGAACTCCTAAATATAATAATTCTTTAATTAAATATATACAAAGTAAGAATAAGCTATAAAATAATGTTACATTAATGAAATATTAATGTAATATAAAAATTAAACAAATTAAAAAAGAAGTCTAAATCAATTTAACACAATTTTTAATTAATTTAGAATGATTTATTTGAAATAAAAAAATTAATTTAAAGAATTAATAAAAACAAGATTAGAAAATATAGAAATAAATTATTTTGTTTAATCAAACATCAGAAATTTTAAATATTTTATCACAATTTAACAGTCAATCAAAATTCAACAAAAATATTCGATATAAATTCGTTGTAGGAATTATTTTTATCGATTTATTACAATAGAAATTCATGGTGATCGAACAGATCTACAAATCACGTTCTCGTTTCTAGGGAATATCCCGCTGAGAGATTCCTTTGTTCGAATCGTTGGCAAGGCCTTATCCTCTTTTATCCCAAGGGAATCTTCGCGCATCATATTCTAGGTTTCCCTCCTAGGAACGATCATTATCTCTTTAGAAATAGAACGATAGGATAGCCATGATGTGAGCTGGGCAATCTAAATCTTATCTCTTTTATTAATAAAAAAGGAATCAAACAAAATCTTTAGAAGGATTATGGAAGAAATATGATAGAATATTCATTATCTAATAAATTTTTTCAATTATTAATCACGAGGTAACAAACTAAGATAAAAAATTCATGATTTTTGAAAAAATTATAACAAACGAGTTACATTTACCATGTCAATAATTCGATTAATAATTGAAACACTTGAATTTCGTACGATGTGACAGTACTTTTAACGGACCCCTCTAAAAATAATTTCTCTCTGTCTGTTTATTTGTGTACGCTAGTCCAACTTGCCACCCTCTACTTTCAACCGTTTCGATGTTAACGTTCATAGAAGGTCAATGGCGCGTGCAGTCTTTTTTTCATCCTCGATATTATTTTACCACGAATGGCAACTGTACTACTTTTGCTCAGCCACCGGGCCAACTTGGTTCACTTCGTTTTTAAGTGCCTAGTGCTGTTCAATAAACATCTGCGATAATCTCCGTATATACGAACTATTTCTAACACAATCGTACTTTTTTTTTGTATATTCTTTTTATATTCTTCGTTCGTATTTAACAATTTGCACTCCAAACCTTCTTTATATATTAATTTTAAAAATTGATCGCCTCGATAACTGTTCGTCTCGTCCAATATGGACGAAAAGAAGTCGAAGAATCGAAACAGTGGTCATAGTTAACGAATCGTTGCCACAAAAGCAATCCTGTTGATGTTCCATTAGATAACAGAGACAATAGAGTGATAGTTGGAGTGCAAACATAATAGGTAATGGCCTCTGGTAACCAGGAACTCGAACGGGAGATTAAGATCTGTTGTAGTACGTCGACTGCGTTTATGGTGGCCGCGCACACAAGAGGTCTGGCGTTAACGTCAAAAGGCGTTATTCGCTTCAACAAGCTCACCTGGTACGCAACAGAAAGGTATCTGATTATTCGGCCTAGATGAGATTCAGAACAATTTTTAATGCGGCCCTTTTTTGTTTCTCTTTTCAGATACACCTCGACGCACCCTTTCGAAACCGTAACAGGGCAGTTACAAAATTTTGCCATTGTCAGGATGATTTTATAGTAGAGAAAATATTTGATTCATTTTAATTCATAATTTTATTTATGAACTTATGTATATTATAAACGATGATGAATAGAATATTAGAATTAATTAAGATAGAGTTTGCAAAGATGTTCCATTGTACAAATTAGAAATTAATTTAATAATTTAAAAATTATTTTATTTTCAGAATGATTTTACAAAGGAAGGACGAATTAATTTTTACTTTTAATCCTTTAAAATAGAAGAGGAAAACTTCTAAAGAAATTTTTAGGCATTTCACGTGACAAAGTTTCCATAAATAAAACTTGTCACGCATCGACCCAATCGAGATACGCAGAAAGGGGGGAAAAAAAATCGAGTCTACATACCAAGTATACGATACCGCATCAAAGGAAGAAGCGGAGAATAAAGTGTTCGTAGATGAGCGTAGAATTACACACGAAGCGAAGCATTCGAGGTTATTGCGTTATCGATCGTCTCCCTCGATCGAATTCTTCCCTTTGATGTAGCTGTAGGGTGCATCGAGTGGCCTGGATCCAAGATAATACAGTTTATTGTCGGTCGAAGGGCATGAATTCGTTTGTAGGAACATGCGAGTGATTCGTTATCTCGAGCGGATTTAAGTGCGGGTGCGCACCATCATCCCGAGTCCAGGGGTCCAATAAATCCAAACTTTTTCATTCTATCGCCATTTCCGTTTATCCGTTCAAATAATTATTGTTTGATCCAATTCTTTTGTTTTTTAAGAAGAAAAAGAGGCAAGTACGAGATCAATTGTACTTTCTGTTACCGGATTATTTCGTGTGCATAAAATTTTAGACGTACAAACGAATGATCCTTTTTTATCGCGGAGAGTCCATTGATATCGTGTTTGTTCGTTTCATTGGTTGAATTCATGGTTCAATAATTTTATTTCATCGTTACGCGCGTTTTAATTGAAACGCTGTACAAACTGCCACGGGCACTTCACGTGGATCAAACATTTACCGATGTGCAAGCCGGGTTAAATATCCTCAGGCGCTGTTCGACTCTTGTGAGCACTTATTTTTTTTTTTTTTTTGCTCTTGACACTATCATTGTAGATTATTATTACGTGTAAACAGGGAAGGAATAAGATCATCGAATATTCCAAAGAAAAAATATAATTAGTAAATTGTAAGTTATAATAACGTAATAGAAATATTTATATTATTACTTTTAATTTTGATATACGATTTTTTATTGCTTTGAAAATATATCACATGTGTTAGAACGTTAGTTAATGCTATTCTAATAAGATGCTCGAAAGTTCAGATCACACGGTGCATAATAAATTCGATGCATCGATCTCGAATTTAGCGTTACCGCATAGCACGTGCTGCGGAAAGATTCGCACACGCTCGAGCCACGTGTCGAAGCAGGGTGCAAGCATTCGAATTAGCTCGAAGAATTTCTCACCGGATAAGAATCGCCTTTTATATCTCAATTACGCTTATTTTTCCACATTGTTCCGCTGCCACGTGCCACGATCTAAAAATATAACCACCACATACATTAACATGATACATTACAACAAATAGTCTGCGATTACATCTTTCGAAATCTATAATATCTTACGATAGGTAATTTCGAATTCTTATTAAAAAAAATTTAATTAGAAAGAAATTGAGAAATTTATTTTATAACAATCTATTAAAATTATCGAAATCTATTAATCTCTAATACCAGCAAACAAAGGGATGATTACACCCCTTTGAATCATCATGAAGCAATTTTTCAAGGGATAATTTAGAGTTTTTAAATTATAATAAATTTTGATTAAAAAGAAGAAAGACATCGCAAAAGTGTCTACTAACGCCATCTATTGTAATAACAAACAATTTAAGAGTAACACTGTTTGAAGAGATACTTACTACGCATAATTGATCGTCAATCCTAATTCAAATTAGCCTTATTCCCTTGTCAGTGGGAAACCGGCTATGATATCTCAATTACGGCTAACTTTTACACGATGGTAGGTGAACACGTGCATCCTGGTGTGAAATTTCCCGCTATCAATTTCTCAAAGCCGACTACCCAGTGATAAATGCACGTGGCGCTGGCATTTAGTCGTAGCTCGGTCTTCCTGATCACGTGTCGATCGGAACAGGCACGTGACCATTGTTACACATCATTTTAATTCCCGATATTCCTCCGAGTCAGGCTAAAATTAGTCGATCGTTTCCACGAAGCAATCTTCCATTTTCGTATCATCGAGATTAATCATCAAGAAAAAGATTAAATTTCAATTTAAAAAAATAGATAATCCATAATCTTGATCATCCAGATTCATTCAAAATTCATTCAACATTTCAAATGTAAGATCTGTACAGATGAAAACTTTTCTTTTTTATTTTTTTAACGAATCGAATTACACGTGAAGACTTCGCAAAAAAATAAGCGAAAGTAGAGCATATGCACTCTTTTTCGAGCATATCTTTTAGTACTCGAGACGACACGCGACGTTCTCAATCGCAAATGAAGGGATTACCGGTTTCTAGTTATTATTATTTTTCTTTTACCGAGGTGTTATCTGTGAGTAATCCGTACTCGAATTGACAACGACGTTACCACGCAAAACGGGCGCGTGGCCAAGTGCATGGGGGATGCGTTGAAGTCGCGTGGCCGACACGTGGCGATAACTCGGAACGTTAAAGTGCGGATAAGGTTGATTGGCTGAAAAGGATCGTCAACTAGGGTTGGGCGTGATACGATATTCCACGCTTTGCGGTTTAACTTAGGAAAAATTGTCATCTGATCCAATTATCGATCCCGATACGAACGTCCAAGCAAATTTTCCTTTGTGCAGAGACGAAAATTTTTACTAATTTGTTTGAAATTCGTGTCGAGTGAGAAAGACTTGAACGAAGGAAGCTATCTCAATTCAGGGGACGAGAATAGATTTCCCATAATCCAAAAATCTTGTGACGTTTCACGGAGGGAAGAATCGGGGG